TGCGGCGCGGCGCGGTTCGCGCCGCCGTGAGCGTGCTTCCTCACGCGACACGCAAAAGCTTATTTAGCTCTGGAGGGAAAGATACAACTCATATCCCCCCTCCCCAGCACTAGAACCGCGATTGTTGAGCTTATCGCGTTGGAACAAACGATATTTTTCGGTTCACGCTCAGCCGGAATATTTTATCCTCTTGTTTGAAAGTTACTTCTATCCGTCGCACTTAAACGTCGCGCAAGAAATTCAAAATTGTTTCACTCGCTTGTTTAAAGTCTATGGGGCTGGATGGGTGGAGGGAGTGAAGGGAATGTGAGTATGTGTGAGGACAAAATTGATTTAAATAGTTTTTATTTTTTACATTCGTCTTCGTTGTATATAAAAGTCCTTATTTCTAAAGTTATAGTGCGTAAAATTTACATAGATCTTTTTACAGGAGGAGTAAACAGGCGTGTATATTCCGTTTATTTCGCAGTTTTTACATTTTTTTTATATTTAACATACCGCAGTTTTTACATTTTTCTTACCCTAGGAATAATTTTAAAATCTTACGCTGCAAATAAGTAAAACAAAGGAGAGAGAGATATATCGCTATTCGCTGGAGACGTAACCGTACGGTACGGAGTATCCGTTGTCGTTAAAACTACGCTTTAATAATACTGGCATGCTTTGTCTCGTCTCTTGTGACGATGTCGTGAAATACAGTGCGCCGAATCGCGCTAAATCGCAGTTTTATCACGGTTTTATCCTCATCCGTCTCTTCTCCCCTCTTTAACTTTTCGTCGGCTAGTAACAATGACTTAATGGAACTAAAATTAAGCACGCGAGAATTTTCAAAATTCAGGGTTATTCCCTTTACTTTGAAAATTTCTCGTGCGCGTCCTTCGCCTATGCGAACGACGTAAGCGTAAAATTTCGGGCCGGCGGATAAGAATGTCTTGATGTAGCTACTGGGGCCGTGACTCTCGAGTTCGTCCGTCATATCGCCCAAAAAATTTCCCGTATGCGGCTCGTACTCGTCGGGATCATAGGTGCTCAAATATATGCACGAATCGGTATCGTAATATAACACGCGACGATTTAACTTTTCTAAATACGAATATAGCTTTAATTGGGCTAACGCCGTGGTGTAAGCGGCTATCGCGACGCTGGTCAGCGGAGACGACGGAGTGACGGCTTCTCGCCTCATTCGCCACGAAACATATATCACTTCGTTGTTTACGGGCAACATATTTGTTATTTCGTGCTCCGTGCTCCGAGCTCGTGAGCAGAGCCGTGAAACTCTCCCACGTTCTAACGATCTCGGTATTCGGTAGATTGGACCGTTGGTCGAATTTACCCCAGAAGGAGTTGAGACAGAGCTTCGTGACCGAGCGCAAGCCTGGATTCGGGGAAATATTCACCCTATTGAGAACAATACCCTCGACTTTCTCGTATTCGCGCAGATACCGTTCCTTGCCGCCTTCGTCATTCGCGCATTCGTTCGGCCATCCGCT